TTCAGGTAAGCTGGGCCCAAGGCTGGCTGGGGGGCTGTGCAGAGCAACTCCAGGTGGCCTCTGCTGGCCCTTGCTGTCCCTCCTGGGCCAAGGTCCCCGATGCCCTCTCTGCAGGCTCCAGGATGACTGCTGAGAAATTCCTGAACAGGCTTCCCAAGTGTGTCATCCGACAGGGAGAGGTGATTGACATCCGGGGCCCCATCAGGGACACCTTGCAGGTGAGGCCTGCCCTAATTCCCCAGCTTTCTCCAGGGGACTTTTTCACCAACCTTGGCTCAGCCTACTGTGTCTTTCCTGGAGGCTCAGGCCTGTAGGCCCAAGCAAAGGCCAGGATGGCAAGCACACCCTCAGAACTGTATGGTGTCTCTGTGGAGCTGGTGAGGACTCTGTGCTCTACTCCACAGGACAGCTGGGGTGGGGGTGGGGGGATGAGCCCAAGGTCCGGGGCATGTTCTTGAGCTTGACCTAGGAGCTCCTTCTCAATTGTCCCGCAGGCCTTTCAGATGCCACGAGTTCATTATCTTCTGCCATTACCCCGCTCTTCTAGCCAGGTCTCTACCCGAGAAAGGGGTGCCAAGGCTGTCTCCGACTCATCTCCTTTGCCCAAGTTGTCTTGTCCAGTCTGGCCACCCCTCGAGCTCCTGGCTGCAGCCCATCTCCCTAATCTAGGCTGCAGGGTGTCTCACACCCTTTCTGTGCTGACCTTCCCACCTCCCTCCTGCTCCTGCTAGCCATGGCCCTCAGCAGCCTTCGCTACTGGGACTGCCTGGGGATTCTTGGAGAAAGCCAAGGCCCTTATCCTGGCCCTGAGCATCCGTTTTGTACCAGTGCCCTCCCCATTTCTAGCCTTCCCTCCCTTCTTTCCTGTCTCACTTGTTTCCTTGCTTCAAGAGCTGTAAACTGCTGCCAGGCTCCCGACCACATCCTTCTTTCAGGTTCTTGGTCAGCATCTTTGTGCCGTAGGGAGTGTCCCCACCCTGTACCATTTCAGTTACTGCTACTCATCCTTCAGGCTCAGCTCAGGTGTCTTCCCTGAGCCAAGGCTAGGTTAGGTCCCCAAGCCTGGCCGTCACCTGGGTAGGCTTCTCCCACATGGGACTGGAAGAATGATGGTGTTGCCTAGCAGAGCCTCCTTCCCTTTACACAGAACACGCCAGCTCTCTGGCTCATGGGGCTCATCCATTCCTGCTCAAGAATGAGCCAGTCTTCTCTAAGGGTGGAGGGAACGATGTAGGTGGGACCTAGGGCTCCGTCCACTTTTCATGGCTGCTTTCCAGAGCTGCTGCCCAATGTCTGCCCGGATCCAGGAGATCATAGTGGAGACACCTGCCTTGGCTTCTGAGCGGCAGAGGTGAGGGCTGGGCAGAGGTGAGAGCAGGGCAGAGGGGAAAGGACCCGGGAGCTGGGGAGCACTGAGGGCCTTTGGACCTGCAGGAGCCAGGAGTCACCCACCATGCCAGTGCCTCCGCTCTCCATGTTGCGCATCAAGTCTGAGAATGGGGAGCAGGCTTTCCTATTGATGATGCGGCCTGAGGACACCATAGGCGACGTGCGCAACCTCTTAGCAAAGACCAGGTGGGTACGAGGCAGGGCTGGGCGCTGCAGGGTGTCCCTGGCCCCATGGCCTAACTTGATGTACTCTGATGAACACCCAGGGACATGGATTCAGCCAACTTTGAGATCATCAGCACCTTTCCACCCACGGTCTACAAGGATGATGCACTTACCCTGCAGGCCGCAGGCCTGGTTCCCAATGCAACACTGCTGTTACGGCCTCCAAGATCCCTGCCGTCAAACCCCAGCTTTGGTACTGGCTCTGACCCCATGCTAGCCCAGGCTCACATTCCTGAATAAAGTGCCGCCCCTGACATGAGCTCCACAGGCTCTCTAGACAGGGCTGTCTTGAGGGAAGGCTGGGCTAGGGAGGGGGTGGTACAGATGCTTAGGCCTGTAACTGGAGCCCCATCTGGCTCTTTGTCCCCTAGGTTCCTTTTTCTCCCAAGCTGTGCTAAGTAGATCCTGTGGAGGTAATGGCCAGCCCTAGCTGGGTTGACACTGTCTCAGCTGGGGCAGGGAAGCTTCACTAGGGGTCAGGCCTCTGAAGACAGCCTGATGCTCATGCAGACACTTTCTCCATATACCGTGTACAAACCACGGCCACCACCTCCGTGCTTCCAGTCTGATGCAGCTGCAGCTGTACCTCCCGTGACGCCCACACCGAACCACCTCCAGCACAGTCTCCCTCCAACATGAGGCAGTTCTGGGGCAGCCACCTTCACTGTCAGGAAGGCAGGTGAACACCAAAGCCTGCACGGGAATTGAGGGTGACTCAGTTACCATGTTGAGAAAGGCCATGTCAGCCATGGTCATGTGTTGCCAGACACAGACAAGCACATGCTTCACATGCACACACAGAGGCAACAACACTTTAGCACAGCTCTGAGCCAACCAGAACCACCACCTCTGCCACGCAGGGACCTAGGACACCATAACCAGACAGGCTGCTCCAGTGGAATGGGCATTTAATTGTCTCTAGGATGCTCCCAAGAGGGGACTGCGGGGCCTTTGGCAGAGCCCTGACTGACGGAACTAACAGAAATACCCATCAGGCAGTGCCAGGCAGGGAGGTAGCCCCAAGGCCTGGCTAGGGGCAAGCCAGCACTGGGGCTTTGCTTAAGACAATCTGAGACCAGTTGGTGAGTAAGGAATGTTGCCTCTGCAGGAAGGGGGAGGACACAGAAAGGACTTGGGTTTGCTAGGAGGGACTCCAAGGTCAGATTAGGAATGACAGGGAGTTGGTCACAAGGTCCTTCAAGGCCTGGTGAAGTTGGGTAGGGACTGTGGCCATCCCTACTCAGGCCAGCTTCAGGAACTCTTGCAGTGTGTTCTGTTCCACGGCCTCCACGAAGAGTTCATAGTCCTGAGGGAGGAGGTAGTCACCTGAGTGCTGATGCAGGGGGACCCTACTGCTTTACCCAGGTCTGACCCTGGCTGCAAGTCCTCCAACACCTCCCAGACCCCAAATCCCATACCCCACAGTACTGGTCCCCGTTGACAATCTGGGGTGGGGTGGCCTTGGGGTTGCCTGCCAAGGTTCGCATCTCATCTCGGAGGGCGTTGTCCTGGGAGATGTCCACTAGCTGGTACTGGATCCGCTTCCCGTCTAGGATGCGGGTCACCTCGCTCTGCTGGGACTTGATCTAGGGGCAGAGGATTGATACGGTCGGCAGGCAAGCTGGAGAATTTATGGAAGGAACTCTGGTCCGGTGTTAGCAGGAGCTTTTGTCCTCCTGCCCACTGTACGAGGAGATTCTGGGCACTAAGGGATGGGAAGGGTCCAAAGATGAAGGGATCACCTACAGGAGTCTCAGAAAGAGAAGACAGCCAAGCTCTGGGTAAGTCAGGGAAGCTGGACTCGCCAGGGCCAGGCCCTACAGCAGAAATACCCTCTTCCACAGCCTCACAGTGGAGAGGAAGCGGGGATTAAGGAGGTGTGTGGAGGGGGTGTACAAGAGAATGGGTGACCCCATAATGGTGGATGGACGTGGGAAGCTCATGCTGGGATGCCGAAGGCTCCCAGGTGTGTGGAGGGGCAGGCTGGGCGGCGTCCCCCGGACTAGACCTGGGAGGCCATACCCCGCACCTCACTGCCTCCATCGTGGGGGCGGCTCCCGGGAGCACGGCCCGCCTTCCCCGGGCGCCCGCCCAGGCACACACTTACTTCACGAGAGCCGGTGACCGACGTGCTGTAGACGCGCAGACCACTCATGCTGCAGGAAAGGGACACGCAAACCAACCGAGGGACGGTGGGAGCGGCAGCTGCACGGCTAGGAACGACGCTGCCGCCGCGCTTGGGAGCGGTTTCCTTCCTGCTCCGCCCGCGAGTCAGTGCGCTCGGGACCAATGAGCTGCGCAGGCGGGCAAGGCGGGGCCTGCATGACACCGCCCCGCGCTGGAGGCGCCCTCCCTGCCCTGTTCTGCGGCCAGGAGCCCAGAGGACCCCAGTCCTCAGCAGCTGTTAGCTGCGGTCAGCCCTTTCTGATTTTGGGCTCACGGCGTGTGGCTGGGAAGTAACCAAATGGCAGAACGGTTCGGCTAAAAACTTTTCCCAGTTTACCCTGGTTTTGAACAACCAGTACTCAGCGCAGTGCCACCCTTGTCTCCAGGAGGTCCTTTAATAGTACTGCTCAGCATGGAACTTTTGAAGGCGGGGCAGTTTCCAAGCTTAGGAACCGCAGCAAGGGATGGTGGGGGCGCTGGGAGGGGCACTGCAGCCAGGACACTTTCCCTCAAGCACCTCCACTCAAACAGGCTCTGACAAGAAAGGGTGGTGGCTGTAAACTGGGGCCACACCCTTCAGAAGCCAGATGGAGGATATGGTAAGAAGCTGCAGGACAGCTCACTGGTGTGTGGAGGCAAAGGCTAGTGCCACGTCTTGAAAGCCTGACTCCAACTGGCCCTTGGTAGAGATCCATAGCTAGTTTTGGGGCAGTCCCAGCTGAGCTCAACTCTTGTTGAAAATACACACTATGGCTTTAAATATTAGGAATTCAACTGATGAGGTGGGAAACAGTCCAGCACCCACCCCAATTTTGGAGCAAGCAGTTAGGTTCACTATAGCTACCCTCAGTAGAGCCAGGACTATATTGGTGAAGGCCCAGTAAGCCAGTCCTGTCCTCTGAGGCAAACTGTCTATTTGGTTATGGGGAAGTTACGTCCTCAGAAGCCACAGGAACCCAGAAGCTGCTGACTTCTGAGGTCTGGTTTAACTTTGCAGTGACGACTGGCTGGTAGGGAGCTCTGCAACTGAGTGTGGGCAGACTTCATCTATCCCCACCCAGACAAAGAAGAAGTGGGAAGAGATTCAGATAGCAAGCTGGATCTGCCTGAAGCCGGTGAACACTATAGTCTTTGGCTCCATAAGCCAAAGCGAGGGCTGGGCAAAGGATGCTGGGAGGCAATGAGAAACTGAAGCATCTGTTAAATGTTTTATTCTGTAATCAAAATAGACAATACAAACCAGTCGACATAACAAAGATTCATATAAATAACTTTATAAACTTTACAAAGAAAAAAATACCTGTGAGCATGGAAGCTGGGCTCCCCAATGACTTAGGGGTGGACACCAACCAGGCAGCTCTGGTTTTAGGAGGCAGAAGCCCAGTGGCTGAGGTATCCAGCCGGCTGCGGCTACTCTGAAGGTAAGCCATCCATAAATAAAACACAAAACGTATGAAAACACTTAAAAAGAAGGCCACTCGGGCCAGCCCAGGAGGTCCAGGAACCTTTCAACAGGCCAGAGGCTTAGCAAAAGTCCTGTCATGGCTGCCTCTGTAACCCTCAAACTAGAGGTTCAGGGCTGGCCCAACAACCAGATAAAACTGAGACCATTCCTAAATCAGGAGGCAAGAAAAACCAAAAAGCTGAGGGTCCAAAGGCCCTCGTGAAACACAGAACCCCAGGAAACACTGAACACTTTTATTTTAGAGCTGACCCACACTAGAAGCTCTGAACTCTCAAGGAGTCAGAGAAGGAAAAGGAAATCCCCCCAACCCCAAACAAGAGGCACAAATCAGGCTAGTTACAGCCCTAACCTTGGGAAGGGGTGAGCAGCTTGACAGTTGCCCTGTGGTCTTCTGGGGAAATGACTATCCAACCTGGGACCCACAGGGCAATACCAGAGGAGTCTGCACTTAGCCCAAATGGGGCAGGCTACCTGGAAGGCCCGAGTGAAGAAGAAAGGTTATGCTGACCACATGCCAGGGCTCCAGGGGCACAGGGTGGCCAAGAGCTTCCTGTAAAAGACAGCACAGCAGGCAGGCTGAGGAGCCCTGCTGTGGTCCCTAAGCCAGCAATCCTATGGGGACTTTACTAAGGGGTAGATAACCCTGAGGCTTTTGTGGGAATAACAGCCCTGAGGAAGCAGGTGCCTGAGAAAACCCAGAAAGCCAGCTGATTTCCCAGGAAAGCTGATACATGAGGCCTGAGAATCCTCAAAAGGTTGCGACTCCTACCTAACCTCCTACGCCTATCTTAGTAGAGGATCAGCAGGACCAAGGTGTGGAGCAGGAATGAACATGGATCATCCTGGAGGATGGAGAGGGAGGTGAGCAGCCTGTTTGCTTCTGATGTCATGTTAGGGCTGGGAACGGTTTGTGAGGACTTTATCAGTTGAATCTGCAAAAAGGTTAATTAGTAACTCAGCCTTTGAGAGTTAAGATAACAGGTAAAACATAACCCAGTAAGGCAAAGCCAGTGTACAACAAAACAGACTTTTCACATCAACCCTGACCCAAGATACAGGCTCTCCCCTCTGGGTGCAGCAGCAGAAGGCAGGACTGTCAGGCAGGAACCTTCTGGTGAGGCTAATAGCAGCCAGATCCTCCCTGGCACTCCTCACTGGGTGGCACAGTTTTCTCCCATGTCCTGGGCATATCTGTCTGACAGGCTGGTCCTTAAGTCCTCAATGTCATGACGCAGCTGCTGAACCTCTTCTAGTTTTCTCCTGATCACATCTGGCTTCTGCAGATCTAGCTGAGTCCCTGGCAGCTGGGTGGCTGAGGAGAAGAGGATTTTAAGAGTGTTAGACAATCAGCTGACTGAAACTTCATGAGGAATGGCAGGACCAGTAAGTTGTTTTTTTTGTTTTGTTTTGTTTTGTTTATTTTTCGAGACAGGGTTTCTTTGTAGCTTTGTAGCTGTCCTGGAACTAGCTCTTGAAGAGCTAGTTCCCATTTTCAGACACGACACTTAAAAGAACAAGCTGGTAGCTGGGTGGTGGCGGCACATGCCTTTAATCCCAGCACTCAGGAGGCAGAAGCAAGCAAGCTCTGTGATTTTGAAGCCAGCTCTTCTATGGAATGAGTTTCAGGA